CAGAGCGAGAGGAGCTGGACCCTCACTGCAGGAAGGAAGACACACAGGTCTGGCCATCCCACAGGGCAGGCTCCACTTCTGGCAGCTCTCCTGTGGAAATCACATGGAAACGCACAGAGACCAGGCTACGTCTCCTCCCAGCTTCATGTGTGGCCCTGAAAAGCTCTGTGCAGCACAGAGGCTGCTTAGCTAAGTAAGTTTTACCTCGTGCACACAATGAGAAGTTCCACAGTCCCCCAAACTGCAGAGATGTCCATGGAAAGTGTTTATGATCGCTGGTGAAGTGGGAAAAGCAAGTCACAAAGCAGAGAACATTGTAAAATCCCCTTCTGATTAAAAAAAAAAAAAATCACACATCTGAGAAGCGTAGGGACCTCTGGGAGGAGAGGCAGGAAGGTGCTAAGAGCCCACCTCGGGGGAGATGGGGAATAGGTCTTGCTCTGTCTTGTCTGAGCATCTGGATTTTATAACACACATGTGTTTGGTCTACATTCAGAATAATTAAATATCACATGGGAGAAAGGACAAGAGATCAATCCCAGGGACAACTGGAAGCACCAGTGGCTACCCAAGCAAAAGAGCATGACAGGCGGGGCCTTCAGGAGGGGGATGCGGGGTGTGGGGATGCGGGGACTGTGGGGGGTAAGGCTGTAGCCTCCTGCTGCTCCCAACCTCCGCTGTAGTGGGGTCACACTCTACAAAGCCCCTTTCATTGGCCTCCATTTACATATTTCAAAGCACCTTCCTGTTTACTCTTGGTCTTCTTAATACTCTTGTAAGGTATTGTTAGAGCCCCGTCTTGTAAATTTAAAACATGAGACTTAGAGTGAGAACCTAGAGAAGGTACCTAGAAATCACAGAATAAAATCAGAATGGAACAGCAGGTTACCTGACACCAGAGTCTCATCTCCCAGGGAGCAGAGCAGCCCCACCAGCCCTGACCAGGTGGGCTGAGGTGTGTTTGGTCCCTTTATCACAGCAGAGCTACTTAGAAAGGCCATCTCCAGAGGCCACGCCATTTCCAGCTCTCACTGTCCTGACAGCACAATTCACCTTATGTCCCAGCACAAACGGTGGCCCTCTTTCTTTCTACTGCTCCCAGCCTCCTGTCTTGGGGGAACAACATCTGTGGTCACTTGGTATCCCAGAGATTCCCTGAGCCTTATCCCAGAGTCAGCCCTCCACTCGCCAGGTTAACCCAACCTGCCAGACACCGAGGAGCTTCTCACTCTTCCGCCTGTCCTCATTTCTCTACTCAGGTCTAAGAGATGGTGCGAGGGAGAGAAGGGGAGGAGGTGGCCTCAGCTCCGGGAGAGTGGGCACGTGGGTCTGTGCAGGTGCGCCCCACGGCTGTCAGGGGGCGACTGAGTGGCCCATAGGTGCTCAGCATCTCACACACAGAAAGGTACAGAAAGCACGTCCAACCGTGACCAGCCAGGAGCCATGGCTCCCAGATCGCCCCACCCACAAGACAGGCATCTGGGCAGAAATCCAAGCAGGGGAACCTGTAAAATGTCATCATTAACTAAGCACCAACTATGTGACAGACACTGTGTTGGGTCCCAAGGACAGCAAACGAGCGAGAGGAAAGTCTTCCTTTACAGGAGCTCACAGACAGGCAGGCGCATCTGGTGATACTACAACCAATTCTCTACGTTTCTCAAACGATCCTAATCCACTATGCCAAGATGGCACCAGATACGGGCATCTGTGAATGGGTGAGTCCCAGGTGGCTTCAGAGAGGACAGGACACAGAACTTAAAAAAACAGAACTTCCAGGAAGAAAATCAGGCAAGAGTGTGGAATTGAGGTGAAGGCATCAGGGGGTGGCCTGAGAACGGGGAGCAGGTACAAATCCAGGGCATTCTCCGGAGACCTGGATGCATTTTGCCTGAGAAAGCTGTGCATGGCTGAGGGAGACCAGCCCACATGCCAACAGGACAGAGTGACTGAGATCTGGGCTCACTGCTGAGCACGCTCCATTCAGCTGAGTCCTCCCTGCCACTCACAGAGTGGCACAGGCTCTCAACTAGTTTCCCAGGACAAGTTCTGGTTTGACCTCTTCTTGCTCTAGACCCCCGCCAAGGTTCTCTAACTTCCCTCTAACTTGCCTCAGTTTCCTTGTCTGCAAAACAGAAAGCATAATGGTGTTCACACTGTAGGGCAGCTGTGAGGCCTGAACGGGAAACCCAAAGAGGACGCAGTGCAGGGCACAGGAATCTCAGTGCACTTGGTCACTGAGGTCACTGGTAACTTTACCGGGTCTCCTTCTTTCATCTGTAAGCTTGGAGTTTGGAGAAGTAAAAGACAGTAAAGTCCCACCTGGTGCTGGCCCACAGAAGGCCTCAGTAACTGAAGGGTACTGGCTTCTGACTCCCAGCAAGCAATGGCCAACTCCCTTCCACTCAGAAGAGCAGATGTGTGGGAGCCATGGCATTTCCAGGCTGTCACGAGCCATCCATGGGCTGTGTGGACTGTTGCGCATAGTAGCCAAGTGAGGGGATAGGTCTGGCATTGCCAAAGCCCTGTAGCACCCCCTCGGGGATTGATCACTTGATGCAGGTAAACCTTCCCCTCAAGCTCTGCCTAAGATCCCACACAGCACCTGAGATGGGAGTGACCTGCAAAGATACCAATCAATCTGCTGACCACAAGACACCATGAAGCAAGACCTCGCCCTTGAATCCCTATCCGGGTTATAAAATAAATCAAACACAGGCTCATGCTCCAGCCTACAAGCTTGACCCTGAAAGTCAAAGAGCCGTCCTGCCTGCTTTCTGGATGCTGCTTTCTGTGCCATGTGATTTTCCACAACCACCTTCTTAGCTTAATGTTGCAGCCAGCCTGTTTAAACCCAGTTTGTCCCATCTGCGCGGGTCATGGTGGAGACTAGGCTCTGGCTAAAACCTTGGTCATGATCATGTTTCATGTCAGCCTTTGGATCACCATGAACAGGTCCAGGTGGACCTAGAAAGCCTGCAGGTCAGTCCTGCTGCTTGGAGCACTGCAAGGCAGCATGGGGAGGGCCAGAGCTGGGGATATCCCACTCAAGGGGCAGCTGCCCCGCAACCCCAATGGTCTGGCCATGGGGGTGGACAGGATAGCTCTCCCTTCTTTCCAAAGAAACTAGAAAAAACAAATATTTAAGCAGAATGAAGGGGCTCGATGTTGAAATGCTAATTTACAAGTGTGGGGAACCTGAGCTAATAATGAACAGCCTGCCTGGGCAGCCACCGGCCACGGCATCCTTCTGCTTTAAGGTGCTTTGTACATCAGCAGTCATGGGCTCTCTTGCCAACTGTCTCTCCTTGAAAATTCTCTGGAACCTTGGTGAAGAAACAGCCAAGACTGAAGGTCTCTTAAGCCCTCAGAGAGTTCACCTGTCTTTGGGCATCTCCGTCAACTGGGCTGGCAAGTCCCGGGTTGTTATGAGTCACTCCTATGGCCCCCTCCCACAGCACACTCATCTATTAAGCTACCGTCTCATCATGCCTGCTGTGTGCCAGGTGCCTTTCAGCACTGCATGTGTACTCTCTCACACGGTCCTGATGACCTGGTGAGACCTCTATGTGGAGAGACTGAGGAACAAAAGAATTTGCACAAGGACACCAGACCAGCGCGTGCCCGAGGTGGGAGCTGGACCCAGGCTGGCAGTTCAGCTGGTCTCCCTCCACTCTACACTGCCCTAGCTGCCAACCAGGCTCTCGGGGGCCTGGAGCTTCCAAGGCTGCTGTCCACTTTCTCTAAACGAGTGGCCATCCCTTCTTCCTGCACACATGTGACTCTACTCACATCTCCAGAGCTCAGAAACTAGCCAGACTTGGACAACCTCTTGAGCCAGCCAGTGTTCCAAGAGCCAACTGTCATACTCATAGCTGGAGGGCCACTGTTAACCAATGTCACCAGGGCAGACTTGGGGACCAATCTCCTTTCCCACCTTGCATGGCAGCCAAAAGACTGAGCTGGCACTGTCACCAGCAGACAGCCTGCCTCCAGCCTCCTATGTCTAGGCCAATGCGAAGACCTTAGCTCAGGCCTCCAAGCCACCTCCATCCTCCACCAATGACCCAGCTGCTAGGTCACAAAGCCAACACTGCACAGAACACCTGAGTCCCACAGGCTGGACCCCCTGGAGCCCCAACATCTTGGACAGAATGTGCTGGCAGTACTCAAGTGGCCAGCTTGCTGCTGTTCTAGAGGGTCGGGCCCAGAGCCCAGGCCCCTGTGTAAGCCACAGTCAGTCACAATGCACAGTCAGGACTGCAGGAGCAGGAGGCAGAGGGGGTCCTTCAGAGAGTGACTTCTTAGTATTGGGAAGTCCAGATCCAAGTGTCCCTGCTGAAGGCTACCTGCAAAGGTATCACCCACCCCTGGCTATTACCATTAGCTGCCTTGTTTGGGGCTGGCATCTAAAGATATTCACTGAGCACTGAGCATGTGCCGGGCACCATAAAGAGCTTTACGTACAGTATTTCACTTCATCCTGACACTAATTCTATGAAGTGACAGAGACAGAATCGGCAGCTTAGCAACAATAATACCTGTGTCCTGCCTTTTCTTTCTGTGAGATTGCATCCTACCATGCTAGACTACAAGCTCCCTCTGACCCTTGAATAGGGACCCTGTTAATCATCAAAGGAACTGCTGTGGATTGACCTTAACTAGCCAGGGGTGACATTAATGAATAAAAAACATGGTAGAGCATGTGGGAAGTTGACCACATGACATACACTGTCCAGTTACTCAATTACCAAGAAAAGTCCCCAGTGAAGTTGCACATTAATAATCAAGAAACTCTACTGAAATGCTTCTCCTTTGTTCCCTTGAGCAATAATCAAAGAACTCAAGCTCTGAGGAAACAGAGTGTTGCTGAGCTTAAAACCATCCCAAGTACTCAGTGGGGCATCACAGGGGCCTAGCTGGGATTCTCACAGGGGACTCCTAGGAGGCTCTGCTACCCCCAGCAACATGACACGGAGGGAAAAAGACCCAGGTCTCACCTTTGGTGGCGTAGGATTCTGCAATCATCCGCAGCCTGTACGGAGGGACAGCTGTCAGTGGCAGGTCATCAAGGCCCGCCCGGGCGTAAATGTTCAGAGCTTCTTTATAATCTCCTTCCACATAATTCAGCTTGGCCATGATCAGATTGGACTCTTGTAGGAATTCTGACTAGAAGGAAAAGGAGAGAAAGGCATTTTCCTACAGTATTTTGTGGGATGCTCCCTCAGGGCCCAGCCATCTACTGCCATAAAGCCCCCCGCCCCCACATGAATACTGGCCCATCAATGTTCACAGCATATTACCCACAACAGCCCAAAGCACGAACAACCCAAGTATCCATAAAAATGTGGTCTAGCCATAAAATAGAATATTGGTCATGATCAAAAATTAAGTACCACAATACAGAGGAAACCCCCAAACATTATTCCAAGTCAAAGATCAGCCATAAAAGGCCACATATTGTATGCCTCCATTATAGGAAACATCTAGAAGAGGCAAATCTGCAGTCAGGAAGTAAGTCGGTGTGCCAAGGGCTGGGGTCTGGGAACTAGGAATATCGACCGATGGTTGCATGCATAGTTCCTTTGGGGCGTGCTGAAATGTTCCAGGGTATCATGGTGACAGAGTGCATAACTTCAGGAAGATGCTAAAAACCATTGCACTGTACACTTTAAGTGGGTGAACTAAACAGCATGGGAATCATATCTCAAGGTCGTTGTGAAAACAAATAACCCAGACCCCTGTGGCTCCCCTCGGGCCCTGAGCTGCACTGGGCCCCAGAAGGAAGGAACACTTCCCTAGTAAGCACTACAACGATGTGAGCACCTTCCCCAAACAAGAGAGGCCACTGCCTGGTGTCCTGGGGTCCTGTCCCTGGCACTGGACATGCACAGACCAGAGCCCAAATCACCCACATGGGGCTTGCCAAAGTGGCTACAAGGCAGAACTTACTTTCCCATCAGGGGCAATGTTTCCCACTGAGTGATCAAGCCTGTGAAGCTGTTGCTGACAAGAGTCCTCCTTCCTACGGCTGAGGGCTGTGGCAGATCTGAGGGGTCACCTTCCTTCCTGTCCCCTCTCGACCCCAAGTGCCACCTCCTCTGCCTTGCCCTCCCCAGCCTCACTGGCTGGAGACAAGAGGTGACCCAGCCATCTAGAGTAGGAAACACATCCATCACCTCTCCTGGGCCTTCTCCTCACAGCTAAGTTGTCACACTTGGTGGCTCTGCTCAGAGAGGCACACCCGCACTCCTCTGTCACCTGCGGCTCTGACAGGTAGGTGACAAAACACAGGAGAGCAGGCAGAGCATGGAGAAGCAGCCCTGTCTGCCAAAGGGGTCGACACTTCTTTGAAGGGAGCAGGGACACCAGACAGTGTAACGGGCCTTAGGAAGGCCACTGTGCTGAGAGCAGCGACTCTTTACTGAGGCCTGTGAGGCCCTGTGGGGGGCTAAAAGCAGGGTCAGCCCCAGCACCCCTGCTTCCTCTTCTGTCTGCCTCCCTGACTACCTTCAACTCCGGGTCAGGCGCCTCACTCCTACGCGGAGGCCTGTGATCACCAAGGAGCCTTCCTCTCAACCCAGTAACACACGGGCTTAGCCTACCTCGTCCTCCTGGGAGACTGAGGCAAGAGCAGCAGCCTCCCGTTCTGTCCCCCTGAATGGTGCCTACAAGTCCCCACACATCACCCCTCCCAGAATCACAGGTCTGACAGGCGAACACACTGAAAGCAGGTGGAAGTTGCCCCCGCCAGTCAGAAGGACTGCCGCAGAGCCACCTGGCAGAGCCTCCTGGCAGACCCGGGCCTGAGAGCACGGCCCAGCAGACCACAGTCTGATCAACGCTGCTTAGTTAGGCACCCTCCCGCCCTCCACCCTGATTCCTCCTCCTTTAAATCCAAAGTTCCTGTCAGTGCCCCAAAGACAGGGCCAGGACACCAAGTGTCATCTGCCTTCCCAAGGTGGCCACGTGATTCGTTTCCTCTTCTGCTCTCGCCATGACCTTGTCCACTTGGTTTTTGGGCCGAGTGGCCAGAACTGGAGTTGGGCCTCAGGCCTAGGATACCAGTAACAGCAGCACCGAGCATGGGAGGACAGCAGAGAACCAAGGCCACCGAGAGGGTGTCAGAGGGGCCCAGGAAGAGGGTCCCGTGCAGGAAGTCAGAGCGTCACCTGGAGACAGACTTGAGAAGGTGAAAAGCTTTGAAGAAAGCACCCACGGCAGGGCAAAGCAGCTCCAGGGCTGGGTACTTCAGAGAGTTTCCTAGGAGACTCTGGAACCTCACTTTAGCCAATTGAAGGGAGAATAGGAGCTGGTGCCAAATGGGGTCAGAGGTTCATCCAGAAAGGTGACAGAGTCCTGGGGGTGAGTGGTCGTGATGATGCACATAACACCCCTGAGCTGTGCACTAACGGTGGTTCAAACGGTCCATTTTACGTTAAGTAAAAGTAAGTCTAAAAAAAAGGAAACTGTAGAGCCCAATGGAAAATCTGCTTGGAGAAACTCATAGTCCAGAGGCACAGGATGGACACCCCAGGAGGGTCTTGCCAGGAGAGCTTGCCCACAGCAGTGACAGCAAGAAAGTAACTCGGTCCAAGCCACCCAGCTCCAGAGTGGAGGCAGAGCCCCAGCAGGGGGCCAGGTGCTGCCTTGTGTGTAACAAGCACAATCTTCTTGCCCTAAACCAGAGGCAACCTCCTCATCCAAGGCTCCATCAGCCCTCACTGCAGGCTGACTGCTCCTCCCAGCCTCAGTCACTTGAGACACATTGGACTTTAGAAGTTCCACATTAGCCAGTGTGAGTGTGGCAACATACCTGTGCAGAAGCTGCTCGACTCTAGAACATGCTTTATCAGGTGAAGGAAGCTAAAAACAGCAACAAGAGGGAAACCCCTTGGTAGAAGCAATAAAACAACAGTAAAAGGCAGGTGTCCAGTGGGGTAGAGCTTTGAAAGCCCTTCCATATTTCAGCCTTAAAACAATCCTGACCCATGTCAGCCTTAGCTGAGAAACATGGAGTTCAGAGAAGTTAAATAACTTCCCAAGATGGCACAGCTTATAAGCTCAGAACAGGGACTCAAACTGTGGAATTTCAACTTGAAATTTAACGTTCTTACTACCACATTGGTTTGAAGAGGACAGAGAATAAAGGCCAGAGAGATAAATGGCTAATGTTTCAAGATGAAGGTTAAGGATAGGAAAGAATTGAGCAGGATGTCTCCCTTAACACACAGTCACAGGCTCATACCTGGCAGGACACTTGGGTCTGAATGACTATCCTGTGAGCTGTGGCCCACAGGCCCACTGTCCCTCCACTCTCTCCTGCTGAGCAAGACTCACCCCAGTGTCTTTTGGTTAAGAACAGTGGACATGCAGACAAACACTCCCTAACTTCATCCTAGGTGACCTGGCCCTGAGGACAAAAGGAGGGGTGAGGAAGGCCTAGTGTAAGGCCCAAGTCAATGGCAGGTCCCCATGAGCCTGGGCTTCCCAGTGACAGCAGTGCCCTTGAGCCGGCCTCCCAGGGGCTAAGGTGGTCCAGTGCACTCAGAGACACAGAGACCTTCTGAAAGGTGGCCTCTGTCAGCACTTCCAGAAGGCATGAGGCACAGCCAGCAGACAGTAACACCATCTTTCCAGGGCTTCCCAGGCCTCCCTGGGACAGAGGCAGGGAGGTGGCCAGATGGCCAGGAGGAAGAACATGAATGAAGGCTCATCGTCTCAAAGCATGTGGGAACTGAGAGGATCCAAGCTCAGGCTTGCAAGAGCCCATTAAAACCACAGAACCTTGCCCCAGAGAGGAGCGTGACCTCCCCAGAGTCACACAGCAAGTTGGAAGCAAACTTACGTTTCCAATACAGATGCAAAAGGTAAAGCAAAAAAATCTGGCTTCTGACAGCAGGTAGGTGAGTGCATACAATTGGACAAGAGTGAAGACCAAAGAAGTAGCCCCAGAAGATTCTGAGACAGAAAGAGAAAGAAAGTGAAAGAGAACTCTCATCATCAAAGGAAAAAAGAAATCAGAGCTTCAAGAGTTCACATATAACTCTGTCCTCAGTGGAAATATATTCTGGGGGGAAGGGGGCCCTAAGGGAGATGAGGGGACCTGGAGGATGGGGCTGAGATGCAGTTAATCATTTCAACAGAGTGGCCTCAGAAAGCAGTGAGGGCAGGGTCCACAGCTAAAGGGATGGGAGGAGGGGCAGGGCGAACAAGGAGAGATGCCCCTGTGGAAGGCGAGGGGTGGGAGGGGTTCCCGAGGAGCAAGGGGGGAAAGCAGGTGAGGAGCAGAGTGTGACTGGAAGGCAGACCAATGGGGAGCTGCAGTGTCCCATGCGAGGAGACAAGGGTCCAGGCTCAGGCAGCGAAGCTCCTGGTGCCCCCCACTCAGAGGCAGTGCCAGGCCTGTGGGAGTCAGTATGAAACCCCTGGCTCTGGGCCAGAGTGGCCCATTGCATTCACAAGCCACATGATTTGGTTAGGAAATTGTGCACTGATGACGCTCATAACCAACTTCTCTCTCTTCTAGAGTGGAGCAAAGCGTCAGGCTGTTCTCTAAGCCTCAGAGTAACGCTGAGGTCACTCTGTTGAGGCTTTACTTTAAGCACTGAGGGAGACTGGTGCCTTCTGTCAGGATGGTAGGTCACTGAGCACTCTCAGAGAGAGCCCCCCAGGGGTTCATCTTAATGGCCCAGGAAGCTGGCCTGCTTCCAAAAGACGAGCCGTGCTGTGTGCAGAAGCACTCCAACATGGCCCCGTTCGTCCCTGGCCACCCTTCCCAGCCGACACCTCCCAGAGGAGATGATGCCAGCATCCCTTGCTGTCTCTGCTTCATCCCGGCCCATAGTACCTTGAGGTTCCCTCGGTCTAGGGCGGCGGTCAGATGCTTGCGGACCTCGGTCAGCTGGGGCTTGGGGCCTCGGGGACTGGCCCCCTGCCTCAGCGGATGTTCCTTCAGGTACTGCTCCAGCTTCGACTCCCCCAGGAGGAGTTCTGCCATGTCATCTACAAAACAAAGGGAGTCACTTAGTGGGAGCAAGGGACGGGTGGGCTGGGAAGGACCTGAGGACCCTGCTCCCCATGGCTCTAGCCCAGCAAGGTCCTCCTGAGGCCTCAGAAGTTTAGATGGGTCTAGTGGGCACTGTTCATTAGCAAGGAATGTACTGAGCCCTGTTCACTAGCAAGGAATGTCCAGCCGCGTTGGCCAAGCACTCCGTCATCTGCTGTCTCACATCTGCTGACTCCAGAGGGATGGCTACACATTAACATGGAGAGAGTCAAGTTCAGGAGGGAGAAAACAAGGCTGTCTTTTGATAGGGGCTGGGTTGTAGCTCCGTGGTAGAGCACTTGCCTAGCATGTGTAAGGCATTGGTTCAATTCTCAGCACCACAAATAAATAAATGAATAAAATAAAGGTTCATCTAAAAATTAAAAAAAAAAAAGAAGATACAGTATGATCTTACAACACACAAAAAACAATGTGACGCATTTCCAAGAGTGGGCAGTGAGGTCTGGCTCTTCTGCGAACATGGACATGAGCTGGTGGGAGAGCTCTATCTATCTGTACAGCTTCTTCATTTTTTTTTTTTTTTGCAATACCGGGAATTAAACCCAGGGCCTCACACATGCTGGCCAGGCACTCCACCCCTGGCTCTTTTTTATTTTTATTTTTTTTTTATTTTGAGACAGGGTCTCTGAGTCACCCAGGCTGGCCTGGAGCTTCCGATCCTCCCCTCAGCCTCCTGAGAGCTGGGATTACAGGTTTTTCCACCACACCTGGATAAAAGTCAGGTTCTTAAAATGAGTTTGGATAAAAAAACCTAGATTTAAGGTCTCTCTGTCTCAAAGTCAAAACTACATAGACACTGATGTCTAGGCATATTCACAGAAGTTTTCACTCCTAAGATTAGTTACCACTTTGTAGCGTCTACACTGGCTGGTTGATTAGAATAAAAAGCTCCCCCCAGGCTTAGCCCTTTGGAATTTCCACATCAGAATGCTCTGAATGCACCCACAGCAGCTCGGACACCCAGCTGAGCATGGTCTATTTTTCTGTGGTGGACAAAAAATAATTGTAACAAAATATAAAATCAGTTTTTAAAAAGTCTAGAAGAATAAGTCTCAAATCCACAATAGCAGTTACCCCTGGGGTACAGGGAAACTTTGATGGGGTGGCAGCCAAAATGGACTTTAGCATCACTTTTATTTAACACCCTGGTCCTAGAAAGGAGAAAGATTTGACTATTAAATACAATTTAAAATTAATTCACACAACAATCCCTGAGGACCCACTATGAGTCCAGTGCTCAGCCCATCAAAGGCCCAGGGCCAGAAAAGCCTCCTACACATCCATGTTAGTCAACCCAAACTGTAGTCCACACGCCATAGAGAGCCCTGTCTGTGTACTGAGAAGCTGAAATCATATTTAGACACAAGACCTAGATTCCGGGAGGAGCCCCCGAGCAGCAGGATAGGGCTGGGGTAAGTTATTGGGCACAGGAATTCTTAAGACAGTCAAGAATACAAAGCAAGTTTCCCATAAGGAGGAGAGAAGATATGATGGTCAGCAGTAGCATCCAACCAGAGGACAATGAAGTAATGCCCACAGAAGGAACAGAGACACGGTGTGGTCTCTCCAGATGGAACCAGCCCAGACACCAGCCGGCTAGGAAAGCAATAGGCAGCATCCCCCGGAAACAAGAGCCTTTCTTGAAAAAGGAAATCTCCTCCTATGACAATGTCCAAAGCCAGGATGTGTCTTACACTGACAGGCTCTCTACAAATCTGCCACATTTCAAGTGGTCAGTAGCTACCAGTAGCCAATGACCATCACATCAGGTGAGAGTATGATCATTGCTTAGAGAGTACATCTAAATATTTATCTCTCTGTCATGACCCTATAAAGATATCTAAAATAATCTAATCAAAACAACAGGAGGGGCTGGGGATGTGGCTCAAGCGGTAGCGCACTCGCCTGGCATGCATGCAGCCCGGGTTCAATCCTCAGCACCACATACCAACAAAGATGTTGTGTCTGCCGAGAACTAAAAAAATAAATATTAAAAATTCTCTCTCTCTCTCTCTCTCCTCTCTCACTCTCTCTGTAAGAAAAAAAAATAATTTAAAAAAAACAGGAATTTCTGAACAATAGAGTTGGAGATTTTTAAACTTTTCATCTTTGTAGTTTTAATTATTTATATTGAGCAGAATCATTTTATATCACTTTAAAATTGTAACTGTTCCTTAAAAGTTGGGAGTTTATGCGTGGGTATTAATCATGGCTATTTCTCCGATGTAAGATTATCAATCTATGTTGAACTTCTTTTCTATACATTTTAAATTTCCAAAAAATAAAATAAAGTAAAACAAAATGGAACATGAGATTCCAAGTACTAGAATCCCAGCTTGTGACCAATGGCATCACCTCGGTTTAGAGGACAATTCTGCCCATCTGAGCACAGGATTTCTCTCTCCCCATGACCCCCCACGATCCAGTCCCTCCACCTGCCTTCCTGCTCCAGGACCCCCTGACATCACATCTGATGGGGGTACTGGGGCAGAATCCCTGCCCCAGAAAAAAATAACAGCAGGCCGGGACCCCTGCTCTAGTGCTGGAACAGGATGGCGTTTCTCACCCCTCAGAGCATCAATTTCCATCACAAAATGAGAGCCACGCCATCCAGACTGAGCCTGGAGTTGAGGGGTTATCAGAGGCAGGGCTACAGCTAGGGTGGAGCTTCGCCCTCAGCCGGGCCATTATGGGTAGGAGGACCTGGACTGGCCAGCAGGAGGAAAGGGCACACCAGGCTCAGGGAAGAGCACGACCTAAGCAGTGGTGCAGAGGCCCGGGCAGGACAGAAACAAGAGCCCAGGACGAGGCTACAGTGTGGAGCTGGAGTGAGGATGGGGAGACAGGCCAGTCCTCCCCTCAGCTGCAACTCAGGATGATGTCCAGGGCCCTCAGTATAAAAAACAGGTACCAGCCAGCCGCTCCTCCAGCTTCACACGCTCAGCATCCTGGGAGCCATTGGCCACTACCGAAGGAACACCCACTGAGGCGTTGGTGGCCTCCCCCTGCCCCGGGAACCACGAGTACCCTGGCCTGGGTGTTGCTGATCTGTTTGCGCTTCTACACTGGAAGAAGAGGCTGAAGGAAGAACCCGTGTGCGGTTTCTTTCTGAAGCCGGGCTGAGCACAATGTCTGGCCCAGTCAGTGCCGATAACCAGTGGATTAATCTGATGACAGGGTTAGGCCTGCTGCATGTGTGGCAGCTACTAGCTACCCCTGAACAGCTATCCCCTCTTCCTCTAGTACAGAGGCTACAGATCACGCTTCCCAGGCCCCTGGTAACAGATGCTGCAGGCAACAGAGTCACAGCAGAGGGGACCACAGCCATGCAACCTCTGGGTTGTTCCTCTGGTTTGTGCCTTGGCAATGAGTCTGGGCTAATGGACGATGACACTCCATCCTAGCCCACAGGATGGAAGCTACTGAGGAGGGCAAAAAACTGTGATACAGGGAGCCTTGGTCCCCAACACCCAGGAGCTGCCACCAAGCCCCCGTCTGCTAATGGTCAATTATCACATGTGCGAAACGTTACTTCTACCTGGTCTTGCGGAAGCCACTGCTACTCGGACTTTCCTTACAAGAGGCCAAGCTGATGTAAAGTGATCTCCTGAAGAAGAAACGGGCTTCCAGGTGAGATGGTCTGCCAGTACCGCCCCAACTCCCCTGGCTCCCACACAGAATCCTGCAGCTCCCAACCGCACCCTTCAGGTACTATTCCTTGCTTTTTCGTTATACATGTGCAATTTTTTTTTACCTAAACAAAAAATCTCATAGTTACAAAGAAGTAAAAGACTGCTACCCGAGTGCTCTGCAGGATTCACCCCCCATAACTTCTCTGATCTCCTGAGGAAGGCACCAGTCTCGATGCCAAGATGTGGAGGGAGCCCAGCTGGAGCAGGAACACCTGGCGGGAGGGAGGGGTTTGCACTGAGAGAAGGGGGTTTTCCTCAGAATTAGGACACAGTCCCATACAGTCCCCGTCTCTCAGGACCACTCAATAGGATGTGGGGCCTAAGGAAGCTGAGTGTGATCCTGGACGGGGAGAAGGAGGCAAAGCTCTCACCAGGAACGTGCCAGATACACCTCTGCAAGGTGGAAAGTGGGGGAAAGGCCTTCCAGGCACACAACTGAACTAGGAGGCATGCCACAGCCTCCTCATTTGGGGAACTCCAAGTACTCTGTCAGAGCCAAACCCTAGAGTGCTGGGGGTGGGGGGGGAGACAGTCGGGAGCCCTTGACAGGTGGGTGAGGGTCCAGAAGGAGCTGCACCTTCTGAGTTTACATTTGAGCTTGAAATCCAGCAGACTGGCTATAAAACAGTTTAAAATTTTTAAAAATATCTAGGCTCCGATGTAATCTCCCAAGCAAATTACGTTTTATTTGTTCCCCTTCAAAAAAGGTGAATTCCCTTCCACTCAGACTCCCAACCAGGAGGGCAGATATTAAAAACAGTATGAGCTCACGCCAAAGAAGTCATTCAGGGGCTGCAAGACTCAGTTCTAAACAGAGAGTGCTGGGTGGCTGGACAGCATGCAGTGAGCTCTGATGGGCTGGGCTTCAGGGACTCCCAGTTCAGAATCCACGGGCAACAAGGAGCCGGCATCGCTAGGCAGCTGCCTCTGCCAGCACGACCCGCTGCACACTAGGACCCTGAGCAGGCGAAGAGGCATCTGGGATACGTGAGAAAATTAATTCCAGTGGACTAAAAAATTAGAGGTACTATAGAAGAGGATCAAAATGGTAAAAGACACTTTTGTTTCCCACCAACATGGAGTAACAGGGACCAAATTCTCCCTCCTGTGCCACCCTCCCCTGAAACAACCTCAAAAATAATGTCTCAGAACATTGGGACTGGGTGACACAGAAGAGGCCCCTGAGGGCCAGGTGACACTCAAGTTAAGCCCTAGGAGCTTCCACAAGCAACACAGAATCAGGG